CATCCAATGATCTGGCAGAAACAGCAGTCCAAACTTTGAAGGCAGACTTAAAGAAACAGCCTACAACTTTACCAGATACAAAACTGTCCTGGTTGCTATATCATTATAAAACCACTCAGCAGAGTCTCTTAAAAACAAACATTCTGAATTAAGAGCCTAATGGTGACCATGAATCTATTGCTGGAAAAACCCATCTGGCTCATGAATGTCCTTTAGGGAAGGAAACAGCCATCCTTACCCGGTCTTGCCTACATGTGATGCAGACCCACAACAATGTGGTTGATTCTTAATTGCGTCTGGGCACTTAAGGATGGGCAATAAATGCTACCTAGCCAGTGATGCCCTCATCCTGTGAATGAATAAAGAAAAAAGGAAATTTCAATTCCTGATATACAGCTGTTGTATCCTCTGTCTTGAAAACTGACACAAAATATCCATTCAATTCATCTGCCACCTCTTCCACATAGGGCAGTGGATGCTGGATCAGTTGTTGATTTTAAATCTGAAATAGATAATTTTTTGTCAAGCAATGGTATTAAGGGATATGGGCCAAAGGCAGGTATGTGAAGTTAGGCCACAGATCAGCCATTATCTCATTGAATGGTGGAACAGGCTTGAGGGCTGAATGACCTCCTCCTATTCCTGACAAACCTGTTGTAATTCTTTAATAAGAAACAACAAGCAAGTTAGACAATGGAAAGCCAGTGGATGTGATCTATTTGGATTTCCAGAAGGCCTTTGACGAGCTGCTGTACAGGAGAGTGCTAAATAACATGATCCGGCAGTGTTCTGGGCTAACTACTGGCATGGATAGAGGATTCGCTGATTGGCAGAAGGCAGAGAGTGGAGATAAAGGGATCTTTTTCAGGATGTGAGTCGGTGACTAGTAGATTTCCACAGAGGTTGGTTTTGGGACCACAACAAATCACGTTATGCATTAACAATCTGGACGAAGGAACTGACGGCATTGTTGCTAAGTTTGCAGATGAGACAAAGATAGTTGGAGGGACAGGTAGTAATGAGGATGCAGGGAGGCTGCAGAAGGACTTGGACAGATGAGGAGAGTGGGCAAAGAAATGGCAAACGGTATACACTGTTGAAAAGTGTGAGGTTATGCACTTCGTAGGAAGAATAGAGGTGTAGACTATTTTCTAAATCAGGAAAGGCTTCAGAAACCTGAAGCACAAGGGGTCTTAGGAGACCTATTTCAGGATTTTCTTAAGGTTAACATGCACGTTCACTTGGCAGTTAGGAAGGTGATGCAATGTCAGCATTCATTTCAAGAGGACTAGAATACAAGTGCAGATATGTAATGTTGAGGCTATATATGTTGAGGCTATATTTTGGTCAGATCATATTTGGAATATTGTGAACGGATTTGTGTCCAACACCAACCCCTGTTAAAGACCTTCTGGAAATGCACTTAGATATTTTCTATAGGACTTTGTTAACTCTTTTTTTAAAAATATCTATCTTTTCCTTGAATATATTCAGTGATTTAGCCCTCACAGCTTCTGGAGTAGAGAATTCCACAAATTCACTACTCTTTGAGTGAAGAAAGTTTCCCTCATCTCAGTATTAAATGGTCTGTCCCATATCCTGACACTGTGCCCCTGATTCTAGACTCTCAACCAGGAAAAACATATTCCTTGCATCTAATTTGACCAGCTCTGTTGGAACTTCACACATTTCAATCAGATGCCCTCTTATACCTTTAAACTCTAGTGAATGTAGACCCAATCTCTCCATATCAGACAGTCCTACCGCCCCTAGTTAACCTCCGCTGCACTCCCTCCAAAGTAAGAAAATCCTATCTTAAGCAGGGAGACAAAAACTGCATGCAGTATTCCAGGTGTGGTCCAGGTGTGGACTTGGAGTCCTGCCTGCTACTCAGAAAAAGATCCATTTATTCCCATTCTCTGTTTCCTGTCTATCAACCAATTCTCAATCCATGCCAATATCACCTGGCCTAAGTGCTTTAACTTTGGCCACTAAAATGAGGGACTTTATCAAAAACATTCTGAAAATCCAAATATACCACATTCATGAGTTCTTCTTAATCTATTCTATGAGTTGCATCCTCAAAAAACTCCAGCATTTCATACACCCATGCTGGTATTGTCTGATCCCGTTAATGCTTTCCAAATGTTTCCATGTTACTTGCAATTTTACTATCATATTCTATTTTCCCCCTCTTGGTCAAACCTTTTTGCCCTCTTTTGCTGAATTCTAAAATGCTCCCAATTCTTTGTTGCTTGTTCTGGCAATTTCATATGTCTTCCCTTTGAATCTAATACTATCTCTAACTTTTTTGCTAGTCATGGTTGGGCTACCTTTACTCATTTTTCCACTGGACAGTAATGAAAAATTGTTGTAATTCATGCACAAATATAAGACCATAAGAAAGAGGTACAGGAGTAAGCCGCTCAGCCCCTCAGGCCTGTTCCTCCATTCAATAGGATCATGGCTGATTTGACATTCCTCACATCCACTTTCCTGTTCCTTCCCTGTAATTCTTGATTCCCCTACCATTCGTGAATCTATCTATCTCAACCTTAAATGTACACAAGGACTCTGCCGCCACACCTCTCTGTGATAAGGAATTCCAAAGACTTACAATGATCTGAGAGAAGAAATTCCTCCTCATCTCAATCTTAAATTGGCGCCCCTTTATTTTGAGACTTAGTCCTTTGAGAGACACTCCCATGAGGGGAAACATCCTCTCAACATTTACCCTATCAAGCCTCTTAAAAATCCGAGACAACAAGGTGCAGGGCTGGATGAACACAGCAGGCCAAGCAGCATCATAGGAGCAGAGAGGCTTTCTACTGCACCTGGTATTCCCAGGCGGTCTCCCATCCAAGTACTA